TGTATCTTGCCTATAGTTCCTGCCATAATGCCAGAGACACAGAGGCCCTCTATATGCTCCATGGTGAATTGACTGACAATGAATGAACCACGAAAGGATGGTCCAGTGGTTGTGGAATATCAAAGTCATGGCAGACCTAGTAAGATCTCATGTTGGTTGCTGGAAATTGAACAAATAAATGCTTTCATCTACATGCATTTTTAGCATTGCTTTTTCTGGAACAAAAACCCTGTATTTTAGTACTGAGTTTATGTGGCACAAACTACATCCATGTTCATTAAAATCCAGTAGAACTCCAGAGTGAGGAAGCACTTTTGTCATTTTTCTGTGGGGTTCTGGAGATAGGCTCAGACTGCCCCAGAGTACCAGCGGTCATTTCCTAGTGGCCAGTGGGGTGAGAAAAGGATGAGAACAAGAGGTTTGAAAAGGAGGCACAGCAAAACTTTATAGATGGAGGGTGAATATGTCCCCTATCTTGATTATGGCAATGGTTTCATGGGTGTATAAACATGTCCAAACTTATCAAATTGTACACCTTAAGTATACAGTTTACTGCATGTCAATCATACCTCAATAAAGACGTCAAAAAATTTAGAGGTAAGAGGTCATCGAAGAGTTCAGTTATCATAAATAAGTTTTAAAAATTATTCAAGATTTTGGATCAGGCCCAAACCTCAAACAATTATTCAGTGCCTTCAGTGATGGAAATCTTTCTGATAAATAACAGATTTACCAATGTTTAGCTGACCTTCCCTTTTATAGGATGTCAGAGTCAATTTTTTTCTAACAACAATAATAATAGCTGAAGTTAAAGCACTTACTATAGTCTAAAGTGATCCCTGCACTTGAATGTGTTGTTTGATTTAATCCTCAATGTAAACCTATGAGGCAGATAGAACATTATCCTCATTTATAGAAAAGCCACTAAGAATGAAGGTCACACACCAGGTAAGAGAAGAACAGGCATTTCTAACCAGGCATCTGAGTCCAGAGTCCATCTCTTAGTCACAGAGATCTGTTGCCTCCTGATTTGGCTTTGAGTAAACTTTTCCTGTCCCATTGGAGACTGTCAGTCAAGGGGCTCTGTCTTCTATCCTGGGTCCTTTATTTCTAAGTTTGATTCATCAACTTGTCCTTTGACAAAAGACAATGTATGACAATTCAAGTTGGATGTAATTCAGATATGAAAAGTTCATTTCAAAATCAACTAATGCAATTCATCATAAAACAAGAAATAATATTTATATGATCATTTCTATAGATGCAGAAAATTTTTTGATAAAATCATATTAATTAATAATATAGTAATAATAAAATAGTATAATGGTAAGTCAATTGATTAAATTTTGTATTAATTTATAATTTAAAAATAACTGTGAGCCAACTAGTTAGGATTAACTACTTTAAAATGATTTTTTTCAAAAAGTATCTGCAAGAAAAATGTAGAGCAAACATCATTCCTAATGGTGAAATGGTAAAAGCTGTTCTCCCAAGATCAGAAGTGAGAAAAGAATGTCCACCATCACCTTCTATTCACATTATGTTAGAGGATCCAAGTCAGTGCAATAAGGCAAGAAAAAAAAAGAATAAAATCATAAAGCCAGGAAGAAGAAATTAAAATGGCATTAGTCACACATGGCATGATTGTATATTTGGAAAATTCTAAAGAATCTATAGACAAAATTATTATAATAAATAAGTTAGCAAGTTTGCTGGATACAAGGTCAATTCACAAAAATGTATTTCTCTGTTGCATCAACAGTTAGAAATTGATTTTTTTAAATATCTTTTACAATAACATAAAAGTATCAACTATCTACAAACAAATGTAAGAGAAGATGTGCAAGTCTTCCACATGGAAAACTATTCAAACTATAAAAAAAATAAAGAGAACTTATGTAAGGCTTAAATAAACAGAGGGATGTGTCATGTTCATGAGCTGGAAGACCCAATATTATAAATTGCTTTTCTGCCTAAGTGAGCCAGAGTTGGTTTCAGCTTCTTACAATCCAAGTACCCTGTCTGGGCCAGGGGTTTTGGGTTAAGAGTGCCCCATCCCCCACCATACACCTGATTTCCTTGCTCTCTGTCCATCGAATATGCCCATAGTTTTCCACTTCTTTATTTTTACTCCTCTCTTTCTTCTCCCCGTGCCCAAATCCACTCCTTCAACACAAATCTATCTTTTTATAAGTTCTTTCTTGTACAACTCAATTTAAGATCGTTTCTCTTAACTTGGATTCTGGAATAATTTTACATATAATTAGTGTTAATAATGTTTGAAAATTCTTATATCGTCTGTTATGTAGATATTTATTATTTAAACTTTCATAGCTAATCTCCCATACCAAGAAGACAAATATTCAGGTCTTGCATTTCTTTACTTCTCCCTTGCATAATGTCTTCCACATAGCAAACGCTTGATACATGTGTACAAATGTGATTTGATTTATATGCAATATGTTGCCACAATTACTGAATAAGAATTAGACAACACATTGGTTCCAACACAAGTACAGGCAATAGACCAAGATTTTAGAAATCTGAGATTTATATGGCTTTCTCCTACTAATTAGAAAAGTATGACAAACAATAATCTTGGGAGCCTTACCAATTCCTAAGAATTTACCGAGAAAACTAAGAATTAGAGACTTTATCCACAAACTAAAGTCCCGAATTAAAGAACATAGCCATAAAGTTTCCTGGAAGTGCAAACAAAAAAACTTAAAACTCTTTTAAATAAATTCTGTGTTCTTGGTGTTTTACAATGCCAGAGGGACACAATTAAATATACCACCCTCACATGACCTCAAAACATGTGATTAGTGGTTCAGCAAACACAAAAGCTAAAGCTCCAATCATCAAAAACTACCAAGAGAAGACCAATTACCCTGAAATATATATATATATATATATATATATATATATATATATATATATATATATATATATATACACACACACACACACACACACACACACACACATATATATGGATTTAAAGAGTTGTCATGAAGAAGAGTCTACAATTCCTTAATCAGAGGCCAGAGGTAGGAGAATTGTAATAAATCTATAACAGAAAGACCACCATGGGCTCACACACAAAATCAAAGATTTTATCCTTCTAAATCCTTCACTCTGAATATGAACTGAGTCAAAATTCATAGAACAACAGCAAATATGTTCCCTAATTTCATTTGCTGACACTCCAGGATAAAATACTTAAAATCCAAAAACTTAGCTCTTCAAATGACCAAACAAAGCATATTTCCTAGGTTGCCAGAGATTTCTAAAAGTTGAATTATGAAAATATCCATAAATTTATTCCAGGTGTCACCACCTGTAATAACTCTGCATTTAAATCTGAAAATGCGAAAGAGCAGGGACAGAGACTAGGATGGACCCAGAACAAGAAAGAAAGATAGAAGATGTTCTTTATCCTATATTGTTTCCCCAATAGAACGAGAACGTGTGTGTGTGTGTGTGTGTGTGTGTGTGTGTGAGAAAGAGAGAGAGAGAGACAGAAAGAGAGAGAGAGAGAGAATGAGAGAGAGTGTTTGGGTGTCTGTTGTGTTACCAATGTCATCTGGTCATACTTGATTGTCCAGTCATATTTCTATGTATGCATCTCTAGAGTAACCACAGGGGGACTAAGTTATTTCATTGGGGGACCTTTAAATGTCAGTCTTGGGCTGGTTAGTTTCCTCAGAGATGACGCTTCCAAATTCTTGCCTGGATGGTACAAGCCTTGCTGTCGGTATTGACGTGGGAGGAGCTGGGGGTCTCCCACGCAGCATGACAGCCTTCATTTCATCTCTCCATTTCCAGGAAGACATTACCTCTCTTTACTAAACTATAGAGAATTCAGAATCTGGAGAGTATTTGCAGCTCTGATGGCTCCTCTCAACCAATTCTCCTATTTCAGACTCATCTCAACCCTAGCCTTGGGAGGCACCTGTTGCCTCCAAACCCCAAGCCTTTCTGGGGTACCATAGTTTGATGGACTTGCTTTTCAATGGCTGCCCCTACTTCTCAGGCTTCAGTTTCACTTGAACTGATCTGCTAAGTTGGTTACCAATCACCCATCAACTTTCCACATTCTAGCATTTCATGTATCACTCCAGTTAGCTATTGTTTCCTCTTCTTATGGGTTTTATGCCTTTTTTTTCATTCCTTTGTTGCCATTTTAGTAGTGTTTTCAAACAAGTGCCTTTTCTAAGTTTAGCCAGAAGCACTCGGTTACATATGCAATCTAAAGGGTTTTTCTAAACAGTTCCATAGGTCCAGTGCCTACCCAACCTCCAGCTCCTCTCTAATCCACAGATCTAAAGTGTATGACCCTGAGAAAATACAACAAATTATCTCTTAAAAGAACTACACAGTTCTTTAGCACTGGGAGCCTGAAGCTATCCAACCTTTAACAGTTTGTATATGTTGTTTCAACATAAGTATAACCCATAGCCATGCTTTTATGAACTTTCCAGTGGTAAAGGATTATAATAAATGTTATAAAATATAGTTCACTAAAAAGTGCTCATAGGTTACTTCCCAAGCCTCCAGTACATCACACGATACAGTGACAACTTGCTCAGATAATGATTAGTGTTAAACAAGATTTTGCCTCAGTGGCTTTACATGACAGTGAATGCTACTTAGGATGGGTCATGATGGTTTTATGCAAAGACACTAGTTTTAGAGAAGTCTAGATGTTCATTTCAGTGCAAGAAGACTACGAAGTTGCTCAAATCCAGAAACATGAGGATTTATAAATCCCTGGACACATTCAGTTCCAGAATTACCATTGGCAGAGCACCTACACTGGGGTGCATTTGAGCCCGAAGGAACGCTTCATTTGAAAGCTCTTCTTTCTCCGCTGCGTTGGTTTGCATTTTCTCACTTTCTCTTTTCTACCAAAGGTGCCAGCTTTCCCACCACAGACAGAACTTTGGGTGGCTTTCCCCTCTCCTCCTTCTATCTTCATTCCTATCTGCCCTGCTCTCTGCATTATCCCTGCCTCGTCCCTATACCGGGCTCTTCCCCCATCTAACCCTCCCTACACATGAGGTCTTGTCAGTGAGAACCTGGTCACTTGCCTGCTGAAGGAACGCTAATAGCCACCTGTCGCTTACACAGGGA